GAAAATAGTTTCGACCTTCCAGACTCCCTAAAAGGGTCTTAGGACCTTCTACAGTCTCTAGACATTGCTTTGAGAATCACTGGCCTTAGCTCCATGGTGACTTTATCACGGGCCAGTTGCTGATAAAGTCACTGATAAAAAGTTCGAATAAGAGAAAGTCTTCCTTCTCTCTCTCTCTCTCTTTTTTAAAGATTTATTTATTTGAGAGAGAGAGAGTGCATGAGCAGAGGGAGGGAGAGAATCCCAAGCAGACTCCCCGCTGAGTGAGTGTGGAGCCCAAAGCAGAGCTTGATCTCCCAACCCTGAGATCATGACCTGAGCTGACACCAAGAGTTGAACACTCAACAGACTGTATTACCCAGGCACCCCAAGTCTTCACTCTTTCCACAACCGTACAGAATCCATTTGGCCAGTTTAGTTTGAGAATGTTTTCAACACTCAACAAATACTTAAGCACCTCCTGTGTTTTCTACATCCCCATCACAAAATTCCCTAATCCCCCTCAGTAGTATCCCCCCAAAACAATGCTCAGTTTTATTTTCATCAAACTGGCACTGCGTATACTACATACATACATAAAGAACCCAGATAGGTGTCTCTCTTACTATCTTTTAATCTTTGATCTCAGTAGCTTGTGTTTTCACAGTTGCACAAGTAATTAGAACCTAGGTATAACCATAATGCCTCGATCACATTTCTCTGGATGACTGCAGTATGCTGATGGGCAATCGGTTGTGACATATGTCACATGTTCCCTGAACATTTTTATGATTAGAGTACCAAAGCTGGGTAACGTTAACTTTTTTTGCGAATTGGAGTAATTCAAGATCGCCTCTATAATGATGTCACTTTGCTCAGCTTCTATCCAGTATGCTTTCTTGAATGGAAGGGAAAGGGTTGGGGTGACAGCTACTGCTATCGTCCCCTGGTGTTGGCCCCTAGGAGTGGGGGATGCATGTGAATATCACACAGCACGTGTTTCAAAACGGGCAAATAGTTGAGACCTACTGCTCCAGTCCATCAGATTGAGGCCTGGTTGACTACCATCTTGGGCCAGGGTGATCAGATAAATGACAACTTCTTGGCAACCAGTAGTCCCTTGTTAACCTCTTCTCTGCCTTAGGTACCCTGTAAGGAATAGGACCAGGTGACAAAAGGAAGTAGAAATCAATCACAGGGTGATGAGCAGGCTGTTCCAGAACATGTGCTCCGACACAACAACAGGGGCCTGTCACATAGCAGCCCCAAGGAGGCACAGTCACTGTGAGCAAGGCCTTGCTTGTGGGTTTCTGGGGTTTCTGCAAAGGAAAAGCCAATCCAGCAGAGCTAGTTTCCTGGATGCAAAGGGGCAATTAGCATCATCTGATAGGAGTTTGCGTGGGAGTGGAGATAGGGATGAGACAGGAGACAAATGCAGAGATGAAGGTGGAGGGATGATAGTAAGTAACAACTGGTGAGCATCCTTGGTTTGGCAGAACAGCGAAGGTAGTTGGATAACTTCACAGAAGCATCTCTCAGGTACCCTCCCTTGATGTGAAGCAGAGGTGATAACATTTTGAGAAAAGATGGACTATTTTCCCATGTGATGGGGACGGCCCTAAGGAAAGAGGCTGGGCCCCTCTCTCCAGTGGTAAGGAAGAAAGAGTGCCCCTTTATGCCAGGGCTGTTTTCTCCTAGGCTGATGAGGGCCTAGAAGAAGCTACAGGTCCCACTCACCATTCTTTGAATTCCCACAAGTTCTCCAGATCAGAGACCCCATTTTATAAGAGTTGAAAGAAGAAGATGGAAGGTAGGCATCGTATCCATTTTCTATCACCCTTTAACAAGTTCCCACAAGTTTAGTGGCTTAAACAATAGAAGTGTATTGCCTTCGAGCAATAATTCTGTAGTTCAGAAGTCTGAGAGGGGCTAAAAATCAAGGTGTCAGCAGGACTGCACTCCTTCTAGAAGTTCTAGGGGAGAATAATTTCTTTACCCTTTCCAGCTTCTAGAAGCTGCCCACAAAGGCGTGAATGAGGAGAGCCCTTGGCCCCCTTTCTCCATCTTTAAAGCCAGCAACAAGCATCTCTATGTGCCTTTCTTCTATAGTCACAGCTTCTCTAATTCTCTCCTCTCCTGCCTCCCTCTTCCACTTTTAAGGACCCTTGTCATTACACTGGGTATAGCCAAATAATCCAGGATAATCCCCCTATTTTAAGGTCAGCCGATTAGCAACCTTAATTCCATTTGCAACTTTATTTCCCCTTTGCCAGGTAACCTAACATATTCGCAGGTTGCTGGGATGAGGACATGGACATCTCTGGAGGGCCGTTATTCTGCCTGCTGCAATAATTGGAAATAAAAGTGAGAAAAGAGGCAGAGGCTCTTTGTCCCTTCTGGAGTTCTCTGCTCACATTTGGAGTCTTGCCTCTCTCTTCTTTTATGCAACCACATTTATGCAAGAGCTAAATATGTCCTATCTGAACTGTATAGTAATTTGTAGGTTTATGTGATCTTGGACAAGAGACAAGGCACTTACCCTGGTTTTCCTTATCTATAACGTAACAGGGTTGAAGTAGATGATGTCTCAAAACTCCCCCGTGTTTCTATCTGACCTTTGAAGTACCCATGTCTCTGCAGATTATATTCGAAATGTGATGGTTCATTGCCACTGGGCACGTCTGCTGAGTTCCCCAAGGCCACAACATCCTTGCCAATAGCTTAGTGGTTAAGTCACTATTGGATTTAATATATGTACTGCCAGCATTGATGAGCATCTTTTCACCTGGATGTCAACACGTACTTTTGTGGGTGTACGAAACATAATAAATCCGACTTTTTAAAAAAATCGACTCCCAGCTTCTGCTCTGCTGATGGCAATGTTCACTGCATTGTACCTTGTCCATGTAGAATGGTCTGTGGCTTGCCACAAGATTTGTTCTTGTTATGGGCCTTGGAAGCACATATACCCCATAATATTAAAATACCTTATGTTTGCACAGCACTTCACAGTTTACAAAATGTCTTCATATCTGTTACTTCATGTGAGCCTCTGTAACAGTGTTCTGAGATTACTAACATTCAGTTCTTTAAAATGGGCGTATTTGTAGGGTTAACTGAGTAACCAGTTCTGTCATAATTCTGCATAGACATTTTATATGCGTCCTTGATCAGTGGTAACAGAGGTACCAAGTAATTTGTTGGAAAACTGACCTCCAGCACTTGATTGAAACACAGACTTACTCACATGCGGCAACAAAGTGATCAGACATCCTTTATATTTTAAATTGGACATCATCTTAATGAGACATCTCACACTGCCTTTTATCTTTGCTTTTGAAAGGAAATGCATCCGTGGAATGCTCTCCGGCATTTTTCTTAATCATACTTTATTCTTTAGGCATTTTTCCTGCCTTCTTATAGTTTGGATATAGAAGTTATTCACAAGACATCTTCCTAAACATTTATCTGAATATAGATAGAATTATACATAGGCAAAATCCTAAGAGTCCCAGTACTGCAATCACACATCAAGATGGCATTGTCTGCAGCGGTCTACGCTTTCATATGTGGAAGGGTTCCCCAACCTATTTTAGAAATTAATAATTTTTCAAAAATAACTCGAACAAGCTATTTGTCCCTCTGCCTCTGTAGTTCTTAAGGTCATCTGCATAAAGCAAAAGGGAGACTTTAAGATGAATTGTAAGCTCATTTAATTTCCAGACAACGTCTATAGTGTTTAAACACTGACATCAAAGCAAAGAGCCAATTATCAGAGTGCATTTGATCTGAAGCCCTGTTGCCTGAATTGCTATAGTTTTCCTTATGCTGAAAAGGAAATCTGTGTCACATCTCAAAGATGTAATATTTAAAATCACTTTATCTAAAGCAGTTTAACTTGAAACATGTGTTTGGGCTCACTAACCACAAGGAGGCATTGAAGCATCTCTTCAAAATGTGAAAAGCAATTTTACTCAAAAAAAAAAAAAGTTGCACCAACAGTTGCTGAATTTCATATAAGCAATTATACCTGCTTGTGAGTATGTGTGCCTTTTAAGTTCATGCTTTGATCCACTTATTTTTTTTAACCCCTGAAATGCCAGCAGGAAGAGTTGCCGCTGTTTCTTCTTTTAGTTTTGTACAAGAGTAATCCACATGCATTTTCCTTCTGCTCTGTTTCCAGTGGACACGAAGGCAAACTGCAGGACTTCTATCAGTACTGACAAAGTAACTGCATTAACCTTTATTACCCTCTAAAAGTTAAAATTTCTTTTGACTGGGTGAGCAGAAGCATATTTCTTTAGTATTCAGAATTACTTAAATACATATTCCTGACAGCAAGGGGTTTCTCTGAAATCCGTGTGTTAGTTTAGAATGATTCTGGGGACACATCTTCAAAATGCCACACAGGAAGCATAAGTTAAAAAGAGCCAATACGGTCTGTTTGCTTGTTTGTTTTTTAAACCCTGAGCATAATTTTCTTCAATTTTGTTTTGACATTCATGTTCAACGTCAGACATTTTCCCCCTGTTTTTATAATCTTGGTTCCCGGTGGTTTTGCTGGTATTGAAAAATACAAACTCTTCTTAGGGCGCCTGGGTGGCTCAGTTGGTTAAGCGACTGCCTTCGGCTCAGGTCATGATCCTGGAGTCCCGGGATCGAGTCCCATATCGCGCTCCCCGCTCAGCGGGGAGTCTGCCTCTCCCTCTGACCCTCCCCCCTCTCATGCTCTCTCTCTCTCATTCTCTCTCTCAAATAAATAAATAAATAAATAATCTTAAAAAAAAAGAAAAATACAAACTCTTCTTTTGCAGAATATGCTGCTTAGCAAATCTTCCAGAATAATGCTTAATCCCCTGAGAAGCAAGGATCTCATTCTTAGGAGTTAGACTGTGTCTGCAAGATGCTTCCGAGAAAATTCTTGCCTAGAAATGTGGACTGTGACCCCTGGAAATCCTAGTGTGCCATTTTGCCATACTGACTTGCTCTTTCTGTGTTTTGACATCTTGTTCACCTTTTAGGATATTCTCTGCCTGTGAGACAAAATATGGACGACTTCAACACGCAACAGAACATGCAGCTGGGGAGGCTGTGTGACATCTTAGGTACAGTAAATACTTCCACACAAATGACTCTTGGGAATGTTTATCAGAGGATGTTGATAAAAATGTTTAATTTTGCTTATTTGTTTTCCCCTGCAAGGAAAAAGTGTGGATTTCTAATCTACTGGCAGGGCAAAATAAATGTTTTGTTTTAAAGAACAGATTTATAGTGGCGTTGACTTGAATTAAAAAATGACATTTTTAACTAATTTATTTGGGTTGCTTTTTCTAAATTCTGAGGATTTCTCTCCTATAGCCCCAAATCCTCTTCATTTCCCGACTCCAGCAGTGAGGGAAGCCAACATTTTATATCTGTGTCAATATTGTCTATTATGGTATCTGGGAAGTAAGTGGAAGGTGGTATCAGAAATGAAAAGAATTGTTTTCACTATAAGACTAAGAGGGATGTGAAGACAGATTTTTTTTAAAAGAAGCTTTTATTTAAATACATATCATCTAGTTATCAGAAAACAGGAGGTGCCTAGGAGAGGGAATTCTTAGAAATATAGACCTCAGGTGGTAGATATTTCCTTGTAAAGGTCAGGCTCTGATACTGGCTTGGTCAGTTCTAAATCAGACACCAACCTGGGCCAGGAGAGAAGACAATAATGCCCTGGTTTGTGCTGCTGAAGACCAAGGTTCAGGTTAGGCTTAACACAAGGTCGCAAAGGCTAAGCACTAATACTGAATCAGTTTAGAAGGTACTGGCCAGAAATTCAGGGTAAACAAAAACTAGGTTTTTATTAGTTACCAAATAAGAACTTCTTTGTTTTGCTAAAATACAGTCGCTATGGCCTTTATTTAAGCAAAACAAGGAAGAATTTTAAATTATCAATGACCAACTCAGCTGGCTCCCCGGAATGACATACTTTACATGATTCATATATATTTCAGCATCATTATTATTTTATAAATGCCATTTGGTAACAAAAATACATCAGTACTAGAAATTTACAGTGTCCTAAAATAATAATAGTGTAATTGCTTTAATCTATTATGTAGGCACTAATATCGTTTTTCAGAGTTACAAAAAAAATTTTTTTTTGATGACTTGAGATTGATTTGTTAGTGCTGAGCTGTTTCAACTAAAAACCTGACTGGGTGGAAATCACTGAAGTGCAGCAGAGGGCAGACTTTGCTCTAATTTATTTGAATTAATTTTTTTCTTTAGCTTTTTATATACCTTTCTATATATAGCACAAACCATCACCAAAGAATTTCTTTACAAAAGAGTCTCATTATTAGAAAACATTTGAAAATATGAGGTTTCTATTTTAAATAATTCAATAGTTCAATCTATGTCTTACCTGCAATGGAAAATTTCACGATGAACTTTTCTGAGAGACTATGAACCAAATGCCTTTTTTTGGTACACTGTCTTCATGATATAGCAATCCGATCCCAAAACCTCTTCAAGAGATGTAATGGAAGTTTAGAAACGGTAGTTAGAAGGTAGAAAAAGTACTTGCTTGTGAAATTTTTAAAAAATATATGAAGAAACTAGGAAAAATAGTAATTTTATGTAAGAATAAATTATCTTTTTTTTTTAATTCCATTAATTCCTAGTGAAGTGTGTTGACTTTTTGCTTATTCAGGGAAAACAAAGAGAATCTGATTAGGTTGGTAAGACCTGTCATTTGGATATTGGCAGTGAAGTCAGGGTGTCAGGTGGAGACCCCAATGGCTACCAGTATTTTCAATTCCTAGAGGAGTTAAGCAAGAGAGTGATCATTATTGACTATTGACTAGCGATCAAAGCAATCTTTGTCTTCATATTAATTGCTTTCCAAAATTACCTGTCAATTAATTTTGAACGTTTGCAGATGCACAAATATTGGATATTCGTGTTAGTGATATGTATTCCTTTGCCAGAAATGCACAGGGAGGTGAGATGAGTGATATGATTTGTTGTTATTTGTAACCTAGAAATTCCTTCCCAAGAAAAATTTAGTTTTCTTCAGCTGTGGAGTCTTTGTTTTTGTTGTTTGTTTTTATGTCTTTTTTTAATACTTAAAAAAAATCCTAGTTTGGTTTTTAAAACCAAATAAAGACCATATCCAAAAGCCACACTGAAGTTAATTTAGATTGGTTTTGTACAGATCTTCGCCATTTAACCAGCTTTTTTGCACTTCAGCGTTTCTCTAAAGAAGAGATAACACTACCACTAAAAAATAGATACGATTCCTTCAGAAGGAGGGCTGTGAGGTACCCTTAGTTTAGTAAGACACTAAGTCTCCTCTTGCAAACCCAAAGTTTGGGATAAATAATTTGGTCATTCAGCAACTGGATACAAGTTATTTACTGTCTCCTCAGTTAATTTATTTTGAGGTTTATGTGACAATTTGGTTTCAAAATCAAATAGGGGCCACTTAGATATTTACATTTATGGGGTGCCTCCTCTCGGCTCAGCACGGGGCCACTCAGCATGGGGCCAGTTTGGAGGACTCCGCTTCTCCTGGGGGAGGATTTCTCCCACGGGCCATTGATCTCACTGATTGTGTGAGATTCTCTACTTCCCACATCCCTCCATCCTCCCAGATCCCTCCGGTCAGCCCACAGGTATTTATTGAGGGGCTCCTGCATGCTCCATACCGTACCTGGGCTTGGGGGAATATAGGAAAGAGCATACACCTTGCCTTTAAAGAGTTTGGAGAGACAAGATTAATAGATTTGAGACAGTAGGATGAAATGACCGAGGATACTACATCATGTTAAATCTTGGGGGCGCTGATAAAGGGAGGGCAGGTGTGGAGGGCAGGGTGTGGAATCACTGTTGGCTCCCCTAGTCAGGGTGGGCCGTGCCGTGGATTCCTGCATCTGTACTGTTTACTGAGTACCTACTATGGGCCAGATACCGCACCACGTGCTTTATAGGTATCTTTCATTTAATACTCTTCAAAACTCTATGTCCCAGGTGATTTTCTTCTCCATTTTTGAGATGAAGAACCGATGCTTAGAAAGGTTAAATACTGTGTCCAATGTTCCCAGGCAGCTGAGCTGGAATTTAATCAGTCTGTGTTCTATATACTCTTGTCAAACTGAACAGAGGAGTCCTCAAATCCCCTCTGAGCCCTACCTGACCAAGGAAATATTTTACAGTTCTGCCTCCCCCGAACTTCCCGAAGCACCTGTTCCACGTGCTTCACTGGGTCCGCCCCTCTCCACCTTGTTTGAAGGCTGTTTGTGCACATGAAATGGTCGCTCCTCGTGGGCATTATCCCAGCTGCTTTGACTCCTCATTTCCCTCCATGTCTAGCCAAGTGCTTTGCCCCTACCGATCAACCAGTTATTTTATGAATGAATGAATGACTCCAGTGGCTGCTGATTCCCTGTCCCAAGTCCTTAAAATATTAAAACCCTGCAGTGGGTAATCTCATCTCACTATCCCATTTGGGTGGGATATTCAATTAGGATTTCTTTCTATGTACATACCAAGAAGCACAACTTAAGAAGAAAGACAGTTAAGTTAAGACAGCGTTTCCTTTAAACCAAGAATCACTAGATGTCCTATTTAAGTAATATACTCCTCTTTGGGAATGGAGCAGGGAAAAGGTTGGTTTCCTGAAATAATCATTGCTATGGTCATAATCAGACCATTTATTTGGACAGGATGTTCCCTGAATTGGCCCTGCCAAGTCCAGGCAGAATAAGAAATTGCAACTTCATCAGCTTTCTAAAGTTAATAGCTCTGTTTTATAATTTACTGAAGTTAATGGGATAAATTTTTAAAGCACTATGCAATTCCCATTGATGTTAATGGTAGTTCTGGGGCTAAATCCCTATGTATTATTTGAAAGCACACTTCCTTAGTACCTCACAGCCTTCCTTCTGGAGGAATCATTGTGTCTATTTTTTTGGTGGTGGTGTTATTTATCTTTTCTTTAGAGAAATGCTAAAATGCAAAGAAGCCAGTTAAATGGCGAAGATCTGTACAAAACCAATCTAAATTAACTTCAGTGTGGCTTTTGGATACGCTCTTTATTTTAAACTGTGCAACATCAATCCGATGCCAGAGTTCAGAATGTCATTTACCTTTATACCAGTAATTAACATTGTGCCTGTTGTTTTTAGATGCCAATGTGAGTGTCATCTACATCTGCTCCATTCAGATGAACGACGAATTACTGCGGTATTACAATAAAATCCTGAGTCTACAGGCGGCTGTCAAATCGGGGAACCTTGAGGATAGAAGTGACCTGCAGGGCAGGTTCAAAATTATCACCCCTGAAGCTATAAACATCTTCCCTGTGAGTTTGTCTTCTAATTACTACGGCTTCAGGGATGCAGTAAAATTAAATTGGAAATTTTATAACTTGCAACGCTCTGGTACACATCAGTGAAATATTATTGCAAGTTTAACAGCTTTACTGATTAGACTACTAGTTGGACTGGAGGAAATAAATATCCCAGTTTAACTCGCAGACTTAGTTGAGCTGCTCTTGCCCAGTTTCTCTATAGCTGAAGCCTAATTGCAGTGATTGGGTGGTACCATCAAGTAGGTAAATTTATAACATCTGTAGTTCCTTTTCTTCAATTTTGTGTGGTGAACGCCAAGACAGAGAAAGCCTGGGCCCACCCACGGTCACCAAGCTTGTTAGGGGCAGAACCTTGACCAGGGCCCCTGTTTTCTGATTTCTACACTGCTATTCTTTGTTACTCCCTGGACTTGTTTCCTCAAGGGAATTTGGCCTGATTTACCACATCACAGGGTTCATAATGAATGAGGTTCAGATTTTTTTTTTTTAACTTCTGCTGATTTTTAATGAATGGGATGAATTCTAAATGGAACTCCACCCCCACATAAGAGCTTTTGGGAAATTCACGGAGTCACAAGCACAGTGTAAGAGATGGCTTGAAATGAATTTCTCGGGGCGCCTGTGTGGCTCAGTCGTTAAGCGTCTGCCTTCGGCTCAGGTCGTGATCCCAGGGTCCTGGGATTGAGCCCCACATCGGGCTCCCTGCTCAGCGGAGAGCCTGCTTCTCCCTCTCCCACTCCCCCTGCTTGTGTTCCCTCTCTCGCAGTCTCTCTCTTTCTGTCAAATAAATAAATAAAATCTTTAAAAAAAAAAAAAAGAAATGAATTTCTCTATGTTTTAACAAGAATTTAAAATTTCCATTTTAAACAACCAACATTTTAATACTTAATGGACTATACAATTTGGCGGAGACTTTTTTTTGTATAATTAAGGGTCTGAATTTGCTGCTAAAGATAGCTCTCTCCACGCACAGGTGGGTTGCACCAAAATCTATGCTCTATTTTTTGGCAAAGAAATCGATGGCATGCTTTATTATCTATGTGTTGTTGCTACCTATTAACCCTTCAGATGCATCATGTTTTGACAGCCCCCCCCCCCAAAAAAAAGGCCTGCCAGGGCTGAGTAGGTTTGCTATAACATCTGCTTTGCTAGTATACTCAGTGAATTGTCATCAGGAGTTACTCTCTTCTACCAAGATAAACATTTTATTTGTTTCATCACTGGATACCTCAATGTTCCCCCCAAGCTCTCTGCCTAGCTCTGTTTCATGGGCACTGCTTGGCTATGGAGGAGGATACAGGGACAGGGTGAACAAGAGAAAAGACAGGGGACAAATCATCACCACTTCCTTATGCTCTTAGGAACCTCCCAATATCCTCCATCAGGGCAAGGATTGCTTGGTGCTCTCTAGCTATCCCCTGGCCTCAGTGGCAGGGTCACAGTGGACATTAGAAAGCAAGGAAGAAAAACTCTCATTACTGTGTGGTAATTTCCCAATTTTATCCAGCCAGAAAATGGAGCCTGGTAGCTGCTGATGAAGAGTTTCTGCACATCTGAAAAGTCCATATACATCGAAGAGGCATGGAATGGGAAAGGGGCACTAATTTGGGAACAGGAAAGTGAATGCACAAGTAACATTTCTCAAGTGCTTAGCACACATTTTCTCTTTTGGTCCTCAGAACAATGCCAACAAGACAGAAATGATCAATCTCCTTCTATGGCTAAGGAAACCAAGTCTCATTTTCTAGTCCAAAGTTCTTGGTGGGGTCAGAGTCTAAACCAAAATCTGTCCGACCCCAGAACACTATCATGAATTGGAATGATTGCGTTGCTCCTGGATGCCCCTGTGGCTAGCTCCCTTTACCTTTCTGGTCCTCTGATCTTCATCTATACAATCAGGTGATGGGTAAGGGCATTTCAAAGACCCTTCCAGCTCTACAATCCTGTTACTTGAGACAGGTGCCCTGCAGTCCACTCTTCAGCTTCTAAGGAAGAGATAGGCGGTTGGCACTAACAGATGCACTGAGTCACATTCATAGTTAGGTCTGCATCTTGGTGAGTAGAAATGAGTAGGGAATATTTTAAGTGCTTAATACTTCTCATAGTTTAAATTTAAATTATTTGAGTAATTAATCACTCATAGGCAATCAACTTTTTAAAATACAAAAATTAAGCTCTCACTTTCACATCAGTTCCTGCTCCTGTTTAGTTATTGCTTTATTTCCTTTTAATGGGTTTGAGAGATTGTATCAGTGCTGATTTTCATTCAAATGGATGGCTCTGAGGAGATTTTTTTTTAAAGCGTGCCAAAAATCTGTTTGTACATCTCTCCAAGTTACTATATGATGCTTGAATCTGTAATGGTAAAAAGTGCTCTTCTAAAGTCATCATGTCTGGTTGTGAACATTTTAATGTTTACGAAGACATCCCAAACAACTACTTTTTGTTTCAGGTGCAGAAAAAAATTAGTGGTGATAAATCAAATGTATGTATAATGTTATGAACTAGGAACATTTTAGACTTTCGTCATATATGCTAATCTGCTGCCTGGATCTGATGATCATGATTTTCTCTCAACGGTCATACAAGACCCACGGCCAGTAACGTGTTCTGTGCCATCACTCACTTGTATTCAAATCTTTACTAAACACATATCGAACACAATACTATGGGACCATCTTGCCTGAAGAACAAGGCAGGCGCACAGATGACTATAAACCAGAGTCTGGCTGCGTGCTCACCAAGAGAGGAGCCAGAACCCCAGCCTGGCTGGAAGTGGTTCGGAATGCTAATATTAGGTTCTATCACTGCATCTGCCACCCCCTCATCACGCCTCATAAACTTACCAGACCTTCACTGCTCAGTCTGGAGAATGGGAGAAGTTGTGGTAACTGCAGCATGAAATTGTGCCAGTCCCGGGTTTCAATCTTGCCTCTGCTGTTTGCTACCTGTGTGACTTTGGGCAAGTCACTTGAGCCTCCGTTTCCTCACCCCAAAAGAGGAGCTGTTCGTTGGTACAGTGTTCTATGGATCAAGCAAGAGAATAGTGTCAGAGGCCTTGGCCTTGTGACCTTGACACTGAGAGCACGGCCACCTTAAAGCACTCTTCTAGGTACCCTGTAAAGCTCACCATGTTACATATATTATGACTCAAGTCCCCAGTTCTCCCCAACACTTAATTTTTTTACCTTTCCTCATTGGAATAATTTGTGGGGCAAGGAAAGGGGTGAAATAAACAAGAAGAAAAGATGGTGATTAACCAGATGGGAAACACAAACTCAAGAGGTGGTACCAGCCATTGTGTGGTGGAGCACTGGGTTTCCCAGAATTGCATTCTCCAAAGCAGGTGTTGAAAATGGATTTAAATAATGGTAGAAAAGGCATATGACATAGATCGAAGAGCTTAGAATAGAACGCTTGCCCTGGAAGAAGGGCCCCAAAGTGTAAATTATATAAATCCTCTTCTCAGAGGGGCTCTGTTTTTTGTCTTTTTTTCTAATTGGGGGCAAAATACACATAACATAAAATTTACCATTTTAATCATGTTAGGTGTGCAGTTCAGTGGCTTTAAGTACACTCCCACTGTTGTGCAATCATCGCATGATCCATCTGCAAAACTTTTTGAACATCTCAAGCAGAATTTCTGTACCCATTAAACGGAAAGCCCAGAAGAGCTCTGGTTTGAAAGGGAAAGTTATTTCAGAGCTGGAAAGACCCCAGAGACTTCTAGTCAATGCATCATTTGAATATGGGGGCTGAGGCTCAGAAAGGTCGAGTTTTCTAAATCACCTTGCAAGTTACAAATTCAGGCAGGACTGAAATCCAAGGGCCCTCCTCGCTCTCTTTCTCCCATACTCATCATTACATCTAACGGTTTGCAAACTGGTGCTGCTAACATTCCCAGAAACAGTTGAGTAGCTTTTCTCCACATTTTTATGCCATGTTGAGTAGATAATTTTGACCAGAATTGGGGAAATAGGTGCGAATCTGCAAAATCCCGTAACTCCCTTAAGACACTGGCACCTTGCATTATATAATTTGCATGGCATTTTTAATGACTTTATTTTAAAAAGAGAGTTTTTCTCTGTAATAATAATTAGTACCATTTATTGAATATCAACTCAATGCCATGCATTATAACAGGTGTATTACACTCATGATCTTATTTTAGGCTTAGAGCAACCCAGCAAACAGGTATTTTTATTTCCACTTGACAGATGGAGAAACCAGGGCGTTCTGGGTGGCTCAGTCAGTTGAACGTCCGACTCTTGGTTTCAGCTCAGGTCATGATCTCATGGGTCATGAGATCGAGACCTGAATCTGGCTCCCCACTCAGCAGGGAGTCTGCCTGGGGAGTCTCTCCCTCTGCTCCTCCCCCAACTTGCTCTCACTCTCTCTCTAAAAAAAAAATATATATATATCTTAAAAAAAAAAAACAGATGGAGAAACTTAGGCAGAGGGAGTATAAGTCACTGGCCCAGGTTCAGGTAGCTTATAAGTGATAGAGCTCGATTCTAAGCCAGCACTCCCAAGTCCCCAGCACCTTCTCACATGCCATGATGCCCTCCTCTCTAGAGGAAATGAGCAATCGTGGGTTCTCATATTCCACCCTTGGCTAATGGCTTTCCTGTGCCCATTGTCACCTGATTAAATCCTCCCTTATCCTTCAAAATTCACCTCATCCTTCAAAATTCACCTCAACCCCAAACTCTTTCATAACAATAATATGAACTAACATTCATTATGTGCTTATTATATAAGTGCTTTCCATGCATTTATCTCACTGAATCCTCACAGCATGCCTGTGAGATGGGTACTACTATTATACTCATTTTACAGATGAGGAAACTGAGGTCCAAGGAGAATGAGTAATTTGCCATCTCCACTGTCCCCACCAGCACATGGCCTCTGCCTCCTTCCTCCATGCCTCCCAGCCCTCTGTAACCCTTTATGGCCCTTCTCTGCCTGGTATTGGTTATCCATCTACTGTACTCATTTGTGTCCCCACTCCTTGAACGCAGAGACACGCTTGTACTGGTTTTGGTATGTGCTGACCAACTGGCTCTGTCCTCTGCCCTTCCTAGACATGCCAGAATCGTTTACTTTATTGAATGAGAAGTCATATGTATTACTGAGTGAGGTCTAAATAGTCAAAAATAGGGCGCCTGGGTGGCTCAGATGGTTAAGCGTCTGCCTTCGGCTCGGGTCATGATCCCAGCGTCCTGGGATCGAGTCCCGCATCGGGCTCCTTGCTCAGCAGGGAGTCTGCTTCTCCCTCTCCCTCTGCCTCTCCCCCTGCTTGTTCTCTCTCTGTCTCTCCCGCAAATGAATAAATAAAAATCTTTAAAAAAAAAAAAAAGACTATTTAAAAAAATAAAAAAAATAAGTAGTCAAAAATAAAATAAAAAGAATTTTCCACTGGAAAATAAATTTAAGTCTTGCTGAAGTTTTCAAATATTTTCTACCCATGAATCCTCTCCAGAGTGTTGGCTAAAAACCAAAACAATCATTATAAAAGTACATATTTTCTAAAATGGACTTGGTGGTAGAACTTTGGAAAGAGAGTACCGAGTGCCCTTTGCCTAACCAGTCACTTGAAGAGTTGCCGGATTAAGAGTCCCATATAGTCAAGCATACTGTAAGGCTTTTTTCTTCATTTTTTGTATTGATTTTCCAGACGCTTTGGTGTTAAACCATGCCAGAAGTGTTGCAGAGATGAATCACTATTATCCAAAGGCTGCCAGCCTCTTTTCCTTCTGACAGAAGGATAATTCCACGTGGATCAAATAAATACAGATGTGTAGTAATTAGTTCTATTCCCAGTGAGCCTATTTCCAACACACTAAAGATGTGAGCGATTATGGAGCCTCACCCCAACAGCTTTTATCAATTTAAACTGCTAAACAACAGGATAGGTCATAACCCAGCCTGCTATTAATAATGCATTTATTGTGTGCAACGTTATAAATTAGGCATATGGACTAGAAAAAGAACACCTTTTAACAAGAACGATATGGTCTCCCCCCAGAAGCATCATATGTGCCTGGCCACTTACCTGATGTACAGTCCCAAGGCGATCAAAAGAATAAAAAATCTCATCCAAGGAAAAGAGGCCTACATTGTCAGCGGGCTCCTCCACAGAGATGATTTGGCCGTGGCGGATATGTTAAACTTACCCATCCTGGGTCCAGAGCCTGAAATAGCTCATCTTTACAGTAGCAAGTCTGGAAGCAAATGGGTCTTTGAGAGTGCCAATGTGCCAGTCCCTCCTGGAGTGTATGGCATCTATTGTCACCAACAGGTATGTGGGGTAGACAGAGTGAGGCTCTGTTCAAGTATGTCACACCCTCTTGACCTTGTGGGAACTTCGGCGCTTCTGAAGCCAGCCCTACCCAATGAAGAATATATGGAAGGCTGATGGGATCTGCGTGAGGCCTTCATGTTTCAAGGGCTCTTCCTGTTGGCCTTGCAGAAATTGCGGGGATTACTCAAGATATTTACTCATTTGTGTTAAGCCATTGAAGGCCCTGTCCATGTACTAATCCGCTCTTAGTATTTATCACCTTAAAATGGATTAATTGATCATCATATTAGCTAGCCAGTCATTTAGGAGGACCCTAGGAAACTTAAGAGGCAGTTTTGGTGAAAAGGAGCAGGTTTGGAAAACCCCAGTGAGCAAGCCTTCCTGCCAAGTCAGGTTGCGGAGGTTCTACAGCAGAGGGCTGCAGACATCCTTGGCTCTCAGGAAGGGGCCATAAAGGGAGTAGGAGGAAAATCCCAGAAAGAGGACAGGAAATGGATCTGGAATAAAACTATCTGCATCTGTGTCTTTGCTTTGGGCCAGGTCTCTGGCTATGCATTCCTCCAGCAGACAGTTAGATCCTAACTGTTTAGAGAATTATAATATTAGTCACTAGAAATGATCTTTGAGTCAGCTCTGGCACGTGTTCTCCCATTTAACCACCACCTTTTTTTCACAAGAAAGAAAGAAAAAGACAAATGACTGTTAACATTTCCTCACCTCTGTTTCAGTAGCTCTCTTAACCATTACTCCTAGCCAATCACAACTACCACAAGCACCCAGTTCTCAGGAACCTAAAGAACTGTGCTCAATGAAGCAGTTTGTGAGGGACGATACTTAGGGATCCTCCTTCTTCCCTCAGCCACTTGATCATGATGTTCTGTATATCATAGTCGCCAAGGCCCCAGAATCAAGCCTTTCAACAAACCGTACTTCTCAGAGACTAGTTTGAAGGTATTGTTAACTTATTAAATTGCCCTAAAATGTTTCAGTCTTGCTAGAGTGTTCTTGGGCAATACATGGGCTCGTGAAGGAAGTCGCTCTTAAAGATGGCAGAGTCTGGAAAAAGCACAGGCAATTTTAGTGAGTGAGAGAGATGCTCCCCCTAAACTGGCGTGCCCCACTGTTCACCGCCATTAGTCTCCACTGGAATTTGAAGGTAACAAAGTGGATCGCTTGACTCTGCTTCCCAGGGGAGTACTCAGCTGAGAGACTGGAGACAAGTGAAATGCACTATAAAGCTATAATTTTACACATGTACATTACATGAAACAGTCTTCAAAACTTTAAAATGTATGTGCAAAATTTATATGAAGTCTTGCTTTCATCTTGACTGACAGAGAACTCAGGTCATCTTTGCTAGGAAATGTTTTAGAACTGTATACAGTTCATTGTGGAATGCAGTAAAACCTCCCTCTCAGGGCGCCTGGGTGGCTCAGTCGTTGGGCGTCTGCCTTCAGCTCAGGCCATGGTCCCAGGGTCCTGGGATCGAGTCCCGCGTCGGGCTCCCTGCCCCGCGGGAAGCCTGCTTCTCCCTCTCCCTCTCCCACTCCCCCTGCTTGTGTTCCTTCTCTCGCTGTGTCTCTCTCTCTGTCAAATAAATAAATAAATAAACCTTAAAAAAAAAACAACCTCCCTCTCATGCTGGTATTCAGAAGCAGGATGAAAAACCTCCTCGTAGACAACCTGGATTTGAGGGACATTTAATCTATGGCATGTGCAAATCGTATCACAATAAACCAAGTTATCACTGACTTCCACTCCACTTGTTTGAAAACGTATGTCTGAGGTCATCAAGAATTAAAGTACTCCATTGAGATTTTTCCAGATAGTGACTGCCCTACCTAATCTATCTGAGTGTGTCAGCGTTTTGAATTTGCAGATGGTGATGAATCAATAATGCTGACTTTTTACCGATGTGCATCATAAACTTAAAGCCGGTGAAAGAAAGCTGTGATTATTTTAATTTAGGTGAATAAATATTCCCAACTATCAGCTGGATTTTAGCCAGTTGACATTTTTCTACTTCTGCTCTACACTAGTATAAAATGAATGGCAATTAAAAAATATATTACCTCTTTTGAACAAATAGACTCAAATAGAAAATTGATTAATGTTTGGCAATAGCATAAAGTCATTTGGTTTATGATTAAGTAATTTATTTGTTTATTTTTTAAATCTAGCATGAGCCCAGTGAGCATTTCCTCTTTTGATCCATAAAGTAACCATGCAAGCTCGCTTTCTGACATGTGGTCTGTATAAAGTATCGACAGCTTCGGTTAAATAATCAAAACTGGCGATGCTATTTTTAAAGCACTGTTCAATTTTCACTTAAAGATAGCACATAATTCTTTCCAGTGGTGCAGTCTTTACAATACTATTGATCCTCTTCATTACTGTAGGGGATCCATCCACAGACACCCATTTATAGGATTCTCAGAAGCAACAAATAATGGGATTTGGAAGAAACAGATAATAATTCTGTTAGTAGCTGAAACCTCCAAATATACAATGTATCTGAACATACAGTGAAAAAGGCTATGAAGGCCAGAACACTAAAAAGGCTGGAACACCTTTCCTTACGTTAGCAAGAGAATTTCATCAGATATTAACAGCCAGAGACCATTTCTACTTCTGCAAAGTGCGATCATGATACAGCAAAGTATGATTAAATATAGAATCTGTCTTCTCAACACATTAGAGAAAGAAGGGATGTAACTCTGGAAGGCACATTACAAAACCTTCCTAGGCTATGCTCATAGCCATATGGTATGCAGACAAGAGTCCTTGTCATTTAAACACCAAATTGTCTACAGACACTACTTGATAATCGGGGAGCTAGGACAATTCCATCTCCACCCTAATTGAATACCCCATGGTGGCCTGGGGCCTCTGGGGATCCCAAGTATGCCCATTTTGATATCACTTCCATACTGCTGTGTAGTGTAACACCCCCAGGAAGATTTGCTGAAAAGATACAACACAGGAGAACAGATTGTGTCTTTAATCAAAATAATTTTAATCTTCTAGCTCCAGACTTCAGCAGAACTACAATCTTGAGTCCTTTCACACTCTTTTGCTAAAAAACCAAAAATTAAAAGTCCATTCAGTGAGCAAAAACTCACCCAAAGAGAAGAGAATGAGAGTATCACAGAGACCTCCCCAAGTATAGAGGACCACAGTCAAGAGAGCTCAAAAGACAGAATGCTTAGTCCTGTTGTGTTTCTTTCTGGGTAATACAGACCACAACCTTCTGACGGGAAGACCAGACGAAAAATCATTCTGTGATCTAATGGCTTGTTTTTCTCCAAGGCTCTACTAGTAGAGTATTACTTATAATCACGTAATCTGGGCTATAGACTTTTGCCTGATTCAAATTTATCCGAAATGGCTTAATTGACTACAAGGAAAATTGCTTCTCTTGCTCCTCTTCTGACTTCCTTCTCCGTCTCACCCCGCTCCTCCACCTCTCTGCAGGCTGGGGTAGGCGGCCTGGAGGAGAAGGAATGCACTCAGGTGCTGGAATCAGAGCATCCTGGGGGGAGTCTCTGCCTTTCCACCTAACACCAGGTGATCGGTGATTGTGGGCAAGTTATTTATAAATTAGCTGAGTCTCAGGGCACCTGGGTGGCTCAGTTGGTTAAGTATCACCCTCCAGCTCAGGTTAGGATCGTAGGGTCCTGAGATTGAGCCCTGCCTCGGGCTCCCTGCTTAGTGGGGAGTCTGCTTCTCCCTCTTCCTCCCCTTCTGCCTCTCACCCTGCTCATTCTCTCTCTCTCAAATAAATAAATAAAATCTTTAAAAATTATAATAAATCAGCTGAGTCTCAGTTATTCATATATAAAATGGAACTAATAATGATGCTTGCTTCATATTTGAGTATTACAAGAGAAAAGTCATGTAAAGAGCCTAGCCAAATGCCCAACTCCTATGGAGAGTTCAGTAACATTAGATGTTGCTATCCTTGTGATAATAAAGCTTCAACTTCTATCCCTTCCATTTCCATGGGATTGAGCCCAGTTCTTGCCGGAATACTGTTTCAAATAAAACATAGTTGTTTTCATTAATGTTTTATCTCCTTTATCTGTCTTGTTCACATAATACATACGACATACTTGGCCAGTTGACCAAACAAATGCATTTCATGTATGTTAATGAGGAAACAATTAAACCTTTATACTCAGCAAAGCTCCAAACAGTTAGTTTTCAAGACTATAACTCATATATAAAAAAAAAAAGCATTTGAAAAATCAATAAGTAAACACATAAAGTTCTAGCGGTGCCTGGGTGGCTCAGTCAGTTAAATGTCTGCCTTTGGCTCAGGTCATGATCCCGGAGTCCCAGGATGGAGCCCCGCATTGGGGGTCCCTGCTCAGTGGGAAGTCTGCTTCTCCCTCTGCCCCTCAGCCGGCTTGTGCTCTCACTCTCTCTCTCTCTCGCTCTCTCTCAAATAAATAAAGAAAACTCTTAAACACATAACGCTCTAAAAAAGAAACAAAACAACACCAAGATTCAATTACAAATATTCAGAGACTCTTTTGCCTTCAAAAACCAGCAAAATGATAATTTCAGAATTTCTTGAAATAAGACTATACTTTTAAACATACCTTTAGTCCCAGGGGTTAGTGGTTTCTTCACATCATTTATATATATATGTGTGTGTATATATATATATATATATATATATATATCACTTAAAACTTCTAATCTGTCCTACTAATTAAAAGATAAACGGGGCGCCTGGGTAGCTCAGTTGGTTAAGCGACTGCCTTCGGCTCAGGTCATGATCCTGGAGTCCCGGGATTGAGTCCCACATCGGGCTTCCTGCTCAGCAGGGAGTCTGCTTCTCCCTCTGAACCTCCTCCCTCTCATGCTCTCTGTCTCTCATTCTCTCCTGCAAATAAATAAAATCTTAAAAAATAAGAAAAATTAAAAAAAAGATAACCAAATGAACAGACCATTCATTTGAATACACCTAAGAAGTACAAGTAAGTTAATACAATAAGAAGGAATCTAGAAAACGAGCCATATTAAATGTTGCTGTGTCTTGGGCCCCACAGATGCTAGAACAGCTGGGTCATCTGGTCACAGATCACCTGGAAATCCAACGCTGGCTCTTTAAAATGGACTATGAGTTTGGAGGAAACGGGACTGCATATTGTGACATTCCTTCCCACCTACAGTGCTACAAGTGGTTCCTACAGGAGAGGGGCAGATACGGCCAGGAGAACTGGAGGAAGAAATGGGCACAAGTGAGTTCAGTGTTGACATAAGCCCATGGTGTCTGTGTGCAGTTAGCAGATGACGGAAAAGGCTCAGCTGGGTGATGAAAGCATTTTCTTCTAGACTCAGCTGCATCACCTGTCAGCAGTGAGATCTTAGGCCGGTCATTTTGACTTTCTTGGGCCTCAGTCCTCATATACAAAGTGACTGGGCTTGCTCGAGTTACTTTAATGTTATTTCTAATATATTTTTAAAATATTTTTAAATTTGAGTAGACACACAATGTTACATTAGTTTCAGGTGTACAAACAGTGATTCGACAACTCTATACATTATACGGTACTCACCACAAGCGTAGCCACCATCTGTCACCATACAGCACTATCACAATACCATTGGCTACATTCCCTATGCTGTCACTTTCATCCCCATGACTTATTCATTCCAGTTATATTCATAACTGGAAGCCTATATGATTAGGTTATTTTAAATGTCCCTTCTTTGGGCCCTAAAAGTCTTCAGTCACATCTTCAAGTTGATTATGATAATTAGGAAGTAATTTTTTTTACCATATTCAAATAGCATTACAAACCTCATCTTTTGGTTTAAGTGGGTCTCGATCATATGCTTCTAACAAGTGTTGTTATTAAGCTGGCTGTGTTTTATTATGAGAGACAGATTCTAGTAGTGAATGGTTGTCACCTGGAAGCTAATGTATAAAAGCATTCTATCAGCAGTCATATGTTTTTGAAGGCAGTTCAAGGAAATTTATGTAACTGCTGGTCCCTATGAGATGTTGAGAAAATAATAAATCTCAGCCAGAAACTCTCCCAGCAAAAACTAAATAATAGGAAAGAAGCTTTAGCACATGAGTGGATGTATATAGGTTTTTCCATGTATACTGGTGGAAGGATGAATTGTACAACTTCTTAGTCTGTTCTAAACTTGCTTAATAATTAAAGTAATTTTAATGGCTTCATATATCAGTTAAACCCACCATTCTTAAAGCTGCCTCACTTTTCATCCAGAGGCCTAGACCTCCCTGGCTTCTCTGAATATCAAATCTCTGTTTTGGCTGACGTACTAATGAAAGCATAACTGATAGGAAAATGTGGGCACAAATTCCCTTAACTGATTCCTTCCCTGCCGACGTACATAGCGAGGGGCTGGGCGGTAAGTTGCATCTGCTTTGAGCATCCCACTACAACAGTATATGAATCAAGACACAAGTGATGGAAAGGGAGGGGCGCACAAAAGAGAACCACATTATTCTTGTGGAAATGAAATGACGAATAAATCTAGAGAACAGTCAGAAGAGAGAGTTTCCTTTGATAAATGTTACTGTTCTCCCCATGATCTATTCCAGGCTTTTCTTCCCCCTCCATCAGTGAATGGACTAAACGCACTACCTGTCATGGCCAGATTTTTACATATTATTTAAAGGATACCAAAGTGAATTACTCTTCTAGAAAAAAAATAAAGCAAGGAAAATGTATTTAATTTTGAGGCCCATAGAGATTTCTCTTGTGTTCTCGTTAAACTGGATTTTATTTCATAGTGTATATTTATTTCAATTTTCTTTTTAAAGCAAAACAGTTGTGATTAAACCATGAAAATAAGACTTTTTCATTAAAAAAAATCAAAATGTTCGCGTGCAAGGTATTTTTCTCAATATTTCAAGCTAATAATTTTTTTAAAGAATTCCCTGGTACTAGACTATGATAAACTTAAAATGTTTGACTTTTAAGTTTAAAAAATGGTTAGAGTAATAACATGTGGCTGAATTGCACTTAAAAGCCTGACTACACGTTATTTAATTTCAATTACTTTCAACTACGCGGTTTAAAATTGTCACCAAATACATTTGGCGTTAGTGTTAATATTATTAAATGTGAAACTCTTGAATAATTAATTACCTACATCATTTTTTTAACTTAACAAGGAAAAAATAATTATTCAGAAATCTTTTTAATACTGTGAGGGACTGTGCTTAGCCAGGATGTAGTTAGAAGCCAAAAATAAAAATGAAAAGTAAAGCGGTTCCGAAGAGCTTTTTTTTTGTAGGAGACTATTGACATTCTTTTGCCTTCAAAGTGAAATTGTATTCAGAATAGAAGTGAACTGCCATCTCCACTGAGTGCAGATATTGAGAATTTAGGATTGGAATTATCCTTTGTTCCAGAAGACCATGGTAATGGTGCACATTTAGACATCAAAGCATTACTTTATGAGCACAGGCATGTTTAAATGTCCTATTACAGTTTGTAGACCTGTTTCTTTTGATAATGAAGATGTTGTGTCATCAAGCCTAGCCTGGCACATACAAAACATATGCTGGCAGGTTATTAAAAATTTCAGCTTCTTGATGAAAGACTATCCTGCAGGCTAAGAGTCCAGAGAAAGACTCCATTCTGGGAGAATTATTAGAAATGAGAATATGACTGTAAGGACTAAATTATGTTAATACTTACAAATAGCATCATTTGCATAGCACTTTATGACATGATACCATGATTTTTCTCATTGGTATGTTGTAGGCAACAGATTAAAAACAGTGCTGTTTATGGGAGTTTGAGCTGTTTTGAGATTCTCTTGCATCTTATGCAGATATTGGTTTTAGATGTAGGCATGATTCAGTGTAGACTCAAGGATCTAATACAAAGATCATCTTCTTTTTCCTACTTACCTAATTTAGAGCCAGAGTTATTTGACTGGTTGCAATTGAGACTCGAAACAAAGTTGTGGAGTCAACAAATGCTGGAAAAGCTGTAGTCACATTAAAAAAAAAAAAATCAGTATAGACATGTAAGTGATCTTAGGAAAAGCATAATGTTACATGATGGCCACAGCGGCAAAAGAGCACAACTCTTGTTTTGTTCTCATGGTGGTTTGGTACCAACCTTTCTCTCTTCATCCTGTCAGCTGACAAAACCTACTTCTCCCAACAGGTCCCATTAAACTTCACTTAACTACTGAATGCTTGTTAAGGTTTAATGAATCCACACACTTGCAGCTGCACACACTCCAAACACCCCACTCCCCAGTGGGGGCCATTTCTTCTCCTTTAGTAGGAATAAAGGCTTAAACAAAGGGCATGCTTGTAGGGGAAAAGCCTTCCTGGCCACTCTTACCCAAGACAGTGTAGGGAGACCCAGGTAGACATTTGCTGCGGTACCCATCCTTCTTGTGGTTCTTTCTTTCCTTTTTTAAAGGGTACATCTTCCCTCCCTCACTCCTGGGAGACTTGCTTGGTGGCAGAGATGCTACTGGCAATGCTGCTTTGCAAGAAAAGGTCTTTCCAGAACAGTTTCCCCAGGTAAAGAGCTAAACCAGTTTAATTTTGGATTTAACTTTGGATTTCTCTGTGCAGCCCTTCTTTTGGCCTCTGTTTCCCTGGATGGACAGTACAGGATGCCAAGGGCTTACTTAGGAGAGAAAGGAGGAAAAGGAAATTGAACTGCTTCTTGAATGCTACTACATAATATTGCTATTTTAGCCCATCCAAGAGCAGTTTTTTTTTTAATTTTATTTATTTATTTGAGAGAGAGAGAACACAAACAGGGAAGAGGGACAGAGGGAGAGGGAGAAGCAGACTCCCCGCTGAGCGGGGAGATCGATGCGGGGCTCAATCCCAGGACCCTGGAATCATGACCTGAGCCGAAGGCAGACGCTTAACTGACTGAGCCACCCAGGTGCCCCCCCAAAGCAGTTTTATGTTTACTTGTACTTTTGTGTACTTTGTTAGACGTCTGAAATTAATTTGGGGATCACCAAGGAAAACAACCTATATTTAAAAATATTAAAAATACAGGGGCGCCTGTCTGGCTCAGTAGGTAGAACATGCGACTCTTGATCTCAGGGTCATGAGTTCAAGCCCCACATTGGGGGTGGAGGCTACTTAAAATAAAAATAAAATTAAAATTAAAATATGAATTCACGGCATCCACGCCTAGAAAAAGTAGAATAAACCATAGTAGTTGTTTTGCTTCCTTGTAGAATGAAATCAGCAAACAAAATTACAGAGGAGAACCATCACCTACCTAGTCAGTGCCTTAGAACTCCATGTCTCTATTGTGAAGACCTCCATCTCCTGAGATGCCCTTGCCTCTGGGTCACAGGAGCCGCTATAAGATGGCTGAGCTTGGTACTTATGTGGAATTCAGCAGGTATATTAGGTGACTCCAAAGAACCATTACCCTACAACCACATAATTTTTTAGAAAAGCTAAACGGTAATATAGTAAGATTAAGGAAATATTTAACCAAATAAGTACATAATCACTTTTCCCAAACTTAATTGTTTTCATTTTTGTGTATTAATTTTCCAAGTGTGCTACATTTATTTCTTATAGCTACAATAATAGCATATATGCTATTTAAACATCAGATCCTAAACATCCTCCACGTTTACAGGTAGTTGTCACAATTAATGGCTATATAATATTCCCTCGTATTGATTTACTCTAACATATTAAACCACTCAACTAACTTGAAAATTTATATTCTTTCCCACTTTTTGAGTGAGGAAAGAAAGAATTGTTTTTATTTTTGTTTTTTGTATACATCTCTTTTAACTTCTGCTGAAGTTATTTCCTGTGGAGAAAGACTTGGGAGTAGAATGCTTTATGGCTCTTGGTACATGCTGCCCCATTACTTTCTAAGAAGGTAGTACCAATTTCCAAGGCTGCTAGCAGAGAATGAGCATACAAGTTTTGCCACCATCCTACCAGCAGTGGATATGATGAACTGTTTGCACTTTTATTTTAGATGTCAAAATGCATCTTCTAGTTGCTATTACTTGATTACTAGCAAGGGATCCTTTTTTCACGTCCTTATTTATTATTTGTCTTTTATATCAAAAACACAAGTCTGTTGTGTTTTTGGTATTAAGAGAAAATCTAGGTTTCCTAGCTGAAGAAAAAATCTAGGGTAATCATTTTCCCTAGTTATTAAACTCCATATGAATGATTATTTGTTTTTTATATTTGTTTATTTTTCTATATTAAAATCTTGACTTCTTCGATTACCTT